AATTGGCTTCCAATAACAAAAATAATACTATTGGGATCTAAAATTAAGATCGCAGCGCCGTCTGTACTTGATATTTGAACTAATTGTTATGGCTTGTTATTGTTTACATTTTTGAGTTTGTAAACAAACAACCCATAAATTTATATTGGTGCTATTTTAAGGAAAACATATTGTTGTTAATTTTTTGTAATTAGACACTTTTATTTCAATAGTTTTTAGGTTAAAGTAAAATGTATATTTTTATTTGGTAAGTACCCCCTATTAATTTTGTTTTTGAGTTACTTTAATTCATTTATGTTAATTTAAGATATTTGTGTTATCTTTTAATAAAATATTAATGTAATTCTATTTTTAGTGAGATGTCTGAAATAAGGCTAAGTTTAATAGAACTTATGAAGTGTATTGGTTTAGTTGAAAAGTCCAGGAATGTTATTAAAGAAGATGCTATTTTAAATGTAGGCCACTAGTTTTCATGTGGATAGAATGAATTTAGTGATAAACATATATCTGTTTATGCAGTTGTTCTCCAAACTAGTGCATTGAATTCAGATCCCCATATTATTGTAGGCCAGTTCTCATTCACAAGATGTTAGAAATTGGTGAATGGCAATGTTTGTTTTAAGCTGGGAACAGTGGACAGTGCAAACATATTTCAGGAGTCTTAATAAAGTGTTCTAGGTGTAGGTATACTGTTTCTAAGAACTATCAAGCTAATTCGATTGAATACCTTATGATTTTGTTCTACACCCTCATGTATATTATTTATTCTACGCACTGACTACAGAACAAAAAAGTAGGCCATTGAACGAATATATTTATCCATTCTATGAAGAACACTGTACAGTTATGAAATCCACCAATCACAGTTCATATTTGATCACAAGGATACCATTATTTTTCTTAAATTTTAAATGAGTGACTATTCTGTCAAACTAATTTTCAGTACCTGTATGTTTTAGTTATTGAGATTAAATATAATTACAAATGATTATTGTGAAGAATCGATAAATAATGGCACTACACAAGACATTCTTTCATATTTTCAAATAAATTTAAAATCACTTTATGATTATTAAAAAAAAACATGTGTCCTTTGTAGGGAAGCAGAATATTTATGGCTTTACTTTTATGTTTGCATAAACTATTTGATAATCTTCAATGTTCCATAATTTTATTTAACAAGATGTTTTAAAACAGATACAGAATAATTGTCCTTTTAAAATCATCTATTAACACAAGTAGGCACTATTTTTTTGGTCTGTTAGTTTTTTGATATAAAATTTACTTAGTCATAATTTTAATTTCTAGTTTGTACTAGTTTTTAGTCTTAATATTTTTATAATATATTATTTAATTCATGTTACTTATTCTTTTACAAATGTATGACACTTCGCAAGTGTTCTTACTCTCACCTCTTTAATGCACTGATGTTTTTAATGTTTGGATATTGTGTGAATAAATTATATTATTATATTAATAACATAAGTAACTCATGTGATATCTTCTTTAAGACATTAAATGAAAATGTCAGCTTGAAATTTATGATTGATTTTGTACTTGAGAGAATACTCTTTTTAATATTTATTTTTATTATTCTTAAGTTTACTAGTCATTGTGTACAGTTATATTTTGTAATGAGTGATTGTACATTGATAATGTATTTTTGTATATTATTCTGTAATGGAACAGTTGAGTCTGTTGGTAAAAAGGCTATTATTATAAGCAATAAATATAAAAATCAAATATTTTTTATTTTTCCTGTTAAAATATGCCAATGTTTACATAATAATAAACGTTCTTTACAGTTACAATACCCAATAGGCAATCTTCTGAAGTACTTCAGCTGATTTCACTGTATTTTCTAGTACGGTATAAAGTTATTGATGCCAGTGAATGAACAAAACTGTTCGTCAGATTTTAAAAGATCTGAAATTGTTTAAATGGTTGGGGTATGCACTGGTACACTAATATCAAAACTCTTGAAAAAGAGTATTTGCAACCTCTATGTCTTGTTTGGTGTGAGTAGCTAGGCTATCTTGAAACAAATCACTCTCAACTATGACTTTTTGTTCTCACTATCACATTTAACACTGATTGAACTTTTTTTAGTTTGGATCTTCGTATTGTTCTATCAATATTTGATTTTGAGGTTTATCGAACAGAATCGTCAAACATTTACTTAAAAACTAGTAGGAAGGCACAGCGATTTCTTTTTAATATTTATTTTCACTTTGGATGAGGCATCTACAACACAAAAAAGGTAAAATAAAAACATTCAATCGAAAAATAAATCTATATTACCTCTAGGCAAATAATTATCTTCTTTAAAATGCTGTGCATGGGAACAAACTTTCAAATACTTTGATACTGGCTTCTCAACTTTTGTAACCATGCATTTCTTGCAGAATTTCCACTTGCATTTTATAAAAATTACCCTACATTTACCAATTTTAGGAAGCAGACGAAATGTAAAAAGAAGGGTCCATTTTTTTAAGGCTGCATTAAGTGTGTTTTTCACTGATATTCCACTTATAGTCCAACTAATATAATATTTTAATATTTATGATAAAAATTTAAAGTATTAGCTTATTATTAAATAAGATATTTCAAACAAAATACTTGTTAAATTTTAAAATAACATTTATTGACATGACCTGATAAATAAAACTTGACAGAACACAGACGGTCAAGTGTCAAATGCCATAACTTTTAGTTCACAGTAGAGGGCGTATCGCTTATCTTCAGATCCCAATACTACACGTTAATATTTATTTTCAAAGTCAAAATTGTACATGCACCACTGTATCTGCGGGATAAACTCTCTAATAATTTTAATGTACATAACTATAACAAAAGAAATAAGGATAATTTCAGAATTCAAAGATGTAGGAAGAGCAGTACATATAATTATGTATTTAACAAAGGTTTTAATGCTTTTAATAATTTTCTAGCATATATCAAAAAAAACTCATCAGTAAATACTTTGAAAAGAACATTAAAGGATTATCTTGTCAGAGTGATATTTGTATTTGTGTAAATTTGTTTATTTCTAAGTTTGCATATGTGTAATGTACTTTTTAAAACCTCTATAATATTATGTTGTAGGGGAAACTGGCCTAAAATGACATACCCTGAGCAAAAACTTTGACAAAACTTGGAAAAAGAACACTTTAAGCATTCATTTAGTGTTTAGTAGGGTCGTTAGTTTATGCCGCTTCCTGTTAAAGACAAAAAACCTTGAACCTTTACATTTTGATGCAATGGCGTCCAAATTAATAAAAAACTGTGCATTATGTCATTTTAGGCTTGTATTAGGATAAAATGACATAGTCATAGAAAGGGTTGAAAATAAAAAATGAAGAAGCATTACAGAAGATTTTTATTTTAAAAACCAAAGTAAACAAAAGTAAACAGGTCAACATACCCTACTAGAACGTTAAACCGCTAAAACGTTAAAAAATTCTTACCATGGAGGAAGGATTCTTACATTTTTGACACCGCAACCAAAGCTCGCCTGGTTTCGACTGGGAATAAAGGATGTTGCAATAAATACATGCAGTGTCTTCCTCATCATCTTTAATCCCAGCAAATGGGTATTGGGTTTCTTGTTCATCTTCATCGTCCCACAGCTTGACTCTAAGCTGGTTACATTTTGCTCGCCGCTCCAAGACTAAACGTTTCTGTTCCTCTTTAGCCTTGAGTTCTTCCAAGTTTGGTGTTGCGGTTAGCATAACCGTTCCTTGTCTTTTACGCGTTATTCATTTAAAAGACGTGGAAACCTTTGGTATTGAAATTATGCTCTCTACGGAAATTTGACTGCAGTCTAGTATACCTTCTTTATTTGGAGTTATCTGAGAGGTATTTGATGATCCAGGTATGACCGTAATCTCAATAGCGTCTGATGGTAGTGGGGTGTGAGTGAAGGATGGTGGTCTAGTGTTCGTGATTCGAGATTATTTTGTTCAGAAATGTTAAAGAAGCAGCAAACATCCAATAGGGAAAAATATTTGCGTTGAATGAATGAATTCCAGTTTTTTGAACTTACGGAATTTTCCATGGATGCACTACGTTCATAGGCTTCAACAAATAGCTTTCCTACTTAAAAGGAAGTTACAATTCGACCAGGATTATTCTTGAGCTACTTTGTAATTGCCTAAGTATAATAAGTGGATAACTTATAATTGTTTGTGGCTAACGTGACCATCAAGCAGTAGAAACCTAAAACGACATAGGTATGTCATTTTACCCCAATACTGTGTATGTCATTTTACCCAAAATAATTATTTCTTAGAAACTATTTAAAAATTTATATAAAACAAATAAATTAAAAGTTTAATTACATTAAAATAAAGAAAAATGTCTATTTGTTTACCTGTACTAAGCAAACTTAGGCTAGTTGCTCCTCATAAATTATTACAGCCAAATTAGGTGACCACACAAATATTTTTTTGGATCGAGAAAAACGACTTTTTGGTATTTAGTCCAGACGCGTGCCGCCTGCAACGCTGAATAAACTTTACTGTGGTCACGGATGAAAAAGATTTGCAATTAGCTATTTAGGGCGGCGTTGACATGTCTTAAAGTAACAATATGGTCGATATGTCATTTTACCCGAGTATGTCATTTTAGGCCAGTTTCCCCTACTGTTTCTTTCTTTTAATGACTTTGTGTACTATATATGTAAATAGAATTAGTTTTTGACTAAATAAAGAGATATATACAAAAAATAATCTTAAAAATATTGATTACCCATCTATATAATACATTATTTTTAGAAGCCGGAATACAAGACATTACGCAAATGTTTATGCATCAAAATATCATTTTATTTATAAAATCTAAAATTATTTAAATAAGAAAGTCACACGTATCCCACAAGATACAAAGAAAATAACATAAAACTAAACTAATAAATAACTCTAAAATTATATATACCTATATATAAAAATTATTACACGCGAAAAAAGTCTAAATAAACATTATTATTATAACAAAGTCATTTAAGAGTTTTTAAAATATAAAACTAACTCTTCTAATGAATCTGCAATCCTTGTGCTATTTTTGGAAATATTTTCAGTGTTTTTTGCTATTTCTTTAAATATTTCCAGTGAGTCCGCTGTCATATTTTCCAAAGTTTTGCCTATTTTTGGGATAGCCGAGATTTTTCTCCTTTTTTGTTCCGGCCTAGATGACATGCTCGACTCATTATTATTCCTACTTGGCAATGGAATGTTTCTTGAGGGAGTTGATATAGGGGTCTTTTTTAATAATATTGGTCCTTGTCCTTTATGTGTCATATTAATATTTATATGTTTATTTGAAATATTAGTACTTTCAATGAAAGGAACATTATCTGGCACCTTACTGGGAGATGAAACATCTGCTGGACATTTTCTTTTTAAAATTTTCATGCCTTTACTTGGCAATGCAATATCCAAAGATGAGTAGTTGTGTTCGGGAAAATAATCTGCTTCTGCAAGTGGCTCAGCAAATATTTCAAAATCCTGCAAAAATACAGAAACAAGTTTTTAAACTTCATTTGTTTTATAGATAATAACACTAACCAAGTGTCCCAAAAAATATACAGAGCAAGGCGACCTCAGATATGCTACATCACAGATATAAAAAAGTACAATAGAGGTAGAAAATAAAAAAATATAAGGTGTTCCATTTAAAAAATATATATATAATTTTGTTGCCTTCACTTTTTTAATACTAAACAAAAATATTTTAGGATGAAGCTACATCCTATTTCCTTTTCAAATTTTGTAATTACCTATGTATTTATTGTCTTAATATTAAATGGCGTTTTAATTTGGTCACTATGTCACCTTCTACACACAATAGAAAAGTAATACAGTAAACAAACAGGGCTACACCTGAAACTCTAAATGTAACATTATTAATAGGAACTTACTAAGTTTGATTCATTGCTCATTTCTACCATTTGAGGTACGCATTGTCCCAATTCCCTTACTTCATCTCCTTCCAAACATTTTCTTCCCATAAGACCAAGAAGTTTTTCCTCTAAGCCTGTCAGCGGTGGAGTGTCACAACTACCTCCTCCTGTTAACGTTGATGAACATCTTAATTTAGATGCTTTAACTTTGACTTTGGATTTCCAATCTGTTAAGGCCTAAAAAATTAAATACTAAATACCTACTCATAGTTTTTGTGTGGAAAGTAAATGAGATCAGAAAAGTAATGTCACTGAATTTAAGTAATATTCTTGGTTTAAAATTTAAAATGTAATTAGCAATAAGGAAATAATGGACAATTAAAAATGTGACGTAAGCAGTTAAACAAAAAATAATAATGTTAGACAACCATAAGGATAATAGTAACTTTTCTACCTAGCAATACATACATTAAAATTATATTTTAATAAATACAAATTAGACAAAACAAAACATTTTTATATTTACTTACCCTCCTCCATTCCAAAATAGTTTTTTCCCCATATCCTAGCCCATTAAGTCTAGCAGCAACAGTTTTCCATAACTCATTTCCTTGGGCTTTACCTTGTGGCCCATTAAATTTACTGGTTATTAAAGCAGGAAACTGTTCTGCTAGTTCTAAAAATAACTGCCAATGGCTAGTGGTAACCCTCATTATAAAAAAATTTAAAAAAATGCAGAGACAAACAACGTGGTAAAAACACTACGATTTTTTAGGTTAACAACGTGGGTTAACACAAATCCAAACGTCAATTTACCCACTATTTTATCCTTTTCCTGCACATTTAAAGATACGCACTCTCTCTCTCTCTCTCTCTAATCAACACCTCCGCACGTGCCGCCATAATCGGTAGGTGGAAGTGGAGAAAGTCGTATAGAAATAAGTGCACAGAATATGAAAAAATCGATTCTACACCACTCCATGGATTTCAACATGTCACAGAATCCCGCTTCAGAAGAGATAAGGGCGAGTTGAGTGGACGGTAATTCTTGAGATGTCTCCTGGAAAAACCATTTTCCAGAAAACATGTCCGGCACTATGCGCATGGCTCTCCAAAAGTCCATTCCCAAAATGAGAAAATGAGGGATACCAGGGACGATTAAAACATTTATAATTTTTAATTTATTGCACAACACTATAGGGAGAGGCACCATTCCCAAAATATCGCAAGCTTGACCGGATGCCACGACACAGGACTTCTGTTCGGCTTCCTTAAAATTGCAACACGTCTTCAAAAGGTTCCATCCAGGTCCGCCCAAAATCGTATTTGTAGCCCCTGAGTCTAGCAAACCTAATAACGTACGTTCATAAACTTTCATTTGAAGATAGGGTCTGGAGTCTCCTTTAGCATGGGCTAAAACATAGTCTAATAAAATGTGTTGATGATCTTCGGTCAATTGTAACGTTTACTTTTGACTTGCCGTTCTTTTATTGGGATTATTTATTAGATTAGAATGATTATAGTGTAAGCTCACCTTGCCAAGAAACAAAAAAAAGGTTAAAAATGTTCTCTAGTGTATATTTTACTATCTTAGTTATTTTTGTACATAGTAATTGGTACTTTTCTTGGGTTTCTTGTTCTAATATAGATGTATTACTGTATATGGCTCCTGGGGAATGTAAATTATGTATGGATTTAATCACTATACTTGGTATATTAGCTGTAGGGCAGTTTAATTATCTACCACATTTGTTAGCGCTTATTTCATCAAATATCCTAAAAAAAAAAGGTATTATTTGATTTAATTACCATCTCTTATTAACCATTATACCTTTTACTATCTTTAAGCAAGTAACTAGTTCTTGTGAGGCTTTGAAAATAGTTTCTTTCTATATACTTCCAGTGTAGGATATGTCGGAAATTCCCCTAGTGCGCTATTTAACTTGTAGTTGCTTAGGCCTGGAAATATATTTTTTATAATTATTATGTAGTATATTTACTTCCAATCTTACCGTCGTGATTAAGCTTAAATCCCCAAGGAATCTGTAGTTATTCATTTATTGTATTCATTTTTTTTTGTCCGTGTACTGTTTGCTTACAAAGCGAATTTACTTATGACAACATGTGTTTGACGGTTGACGTCGAACTTGTCAGGTCAGAGCGCGATGATTATTGATTTTCGGCCACAGATGTTAGAACGTACTAGACTGGCTACGCTCGAATATCTTGGTATCTTGTGACTTGGGAAAATTATTTCCATACAGAACATATTGTATTTAGGAATACTTTTGTAATATATAGTTAGGTATTTCTAGGGGTCTTGAATCATATTGATGAATATCCGATTCGATAAAGTTATTTAGTAACCACCGCCGATTCGTGACGTCAGTGGTTTCCTTTTCTGTTTTTAATAAGGCAACACTGCGTACGCAAAAAGTTATCTGATTCTTACTGACCAGCATTGGACGGGCTCTTTCTTGAAAAATCTGTATAGTGCGAACACGAAAATTTTCGGCAGTGTAGAGTCGTAAGGGGATACCAATTTTTTTCTGAGACTTCGAGTCTTCTCACTATTTGAGGTGTTTATTGGTTTTCCCCAGTTAACTCGTGGTTTGACTTTGTGGGGTATTTTCCTGAATTGGATTTAGTGGAAAATTACCATTTTGTGGAATAGCCAAGCCACGCCGAGTTTTCGGTTTTTTTATGCGGCTCTCACTGTAAGTATATCTATCACCATTAGATTTTGAGTCTTTATCTAGTAATTTATTTAGGCCCTAAAGTCAATCCTGGATTCCTGTGTGTGATTTGGGGACAGGAACAACTTGGCAGTTTTTTTTTGGCTCGTGTTCGCTTGGAGAGACGCCATTTTGTACCCTTGTGAAAGGTATGATTTATGATTCAATTTTTACTTCTATATATTTATTGGATTTGGCTATTAATATTTTAATAAGTGCTGGGTGTACTTAATTTTTACTATTTGAGTCCATGATACAGTTTATGGCTATTACTTCAGGTCTTTATATATTGTAAATATTCAGGGGTAGTTTAGAGCAAGATCAGCCCTGTCTGTATCGTTGATGGGGTAATGCAGGTTCAACCTGACTCATTACTTGTTAGTTTTAACTTCAATTTGGGGTAATTAGTGTTATAATTTGGGAAATCTAGGTCAATTTTGAATTGAAACATTTTGTTTGTATTTTAAAGGGTTCACCCGTGGGGCTTTAAGACACTCTTCACCCGTGGGGCTTTAAGAAATTCTTCCCCGTGGGGCGTTTAGGATTCTTCACACTTTGGATACTAAGAACTGTTCACCTGTGGGATATTTGGTAACCAATCAACTGTGGGATTTGGTAATCGTTCACCGAAGAGGGTTGCTGATAATTGTTCACCTACTTGGTTATTGGTTCACCGTTTACTTGTAAGGACAACATACACTCCTTTACCAGGCTGCTGGTTATTAGACGTTGCTCTTACTGCATGGGAAGTTGGTGTTAACGGTGGAGATAATGGTGACAACCCTATTCAGGTTTTTTATGTATTACATTGTAAATTTCTTGTGGGTGCAGGCTTAATGCCTATTTATTGATAATTTTCAGTGTTCTTAGGGTATACGAATGAACCTAGGGCATAGTTGACCACTATTTTTACTTATACTAGCACATTCAAATATTTAAAAAAAAAAAGAAAAAAAACCAGCAAGCCTATATTCAATTTAATATTTCAAATTTAGTTAATTTAAGCACTTAATGCTGATGTAGTAATCCTTCGGGTCGCAGAACACTTGGACTGCTTCCACGTTTAAGTTGTAATTCTTCAGTTATTAAGGGCTACTGTCATAATTTTACTTTTTCATTTTATTCATTATTAAATGGACCAGACTTAACGATTAAGTTAAGCAATCTCAGAAGACCCGTGTGTGAGGGCAGAGATTTAATAACCTCTTCCTATTTATGGGAGCTTTAAAGTATATCAACGGTGTCTGAAGTCTTTTGTGTATTTTTTTTTATTATTTAGTATTTTTCTTATTACGTTAAAATATATTGCGGTCCAGCATTAAATGCTGCGAATTTATATAGGTACGGGTATGCCTATGGTATATATTTAAGATTGTTGAAAGTCTTTATAGGGTGTATATTTAATTATTGGTTGCAATTTATATATGGCGTCATTTGATAACTTTGCAAGTTTGTGTACGATATTTAGTTGGTTATTATAAATTCTGTTATATGGTAAGATACATGTAAAAGGTAGAAATTAATATTTTACAGGTTTTTCACCCTATTCTACCTCACTCTGTCCTTTGCTCTGGTACCACAGCCAATGACTTACCATGCCATCCATTGATGGAATTATAAATATTTTTTTTTGGGTTTATGCATATACATATATGAGTTAATTTCTTACCTTATTTATTAGTTATTAGACCTTTGGTAGGTATTGATACCTTTTTTATGGTATTATATAATTCATCATATACCTGGCTTTATATATTTTTTTTTAACTTTAGTATTGTGTGATCATTATTAACCCTTATTAGATTATTATTTGTAAATTTGTTAAATTATATTTTATCAGGTAATTTTTTTTTAATTTTTTTTTATATAAAGGAAACATAAGTTGAGGTTGATCTTTTATTTCTTTCCTCATTTACGGGGTTAGTGGGGGAATATTTGAACTGTTTTGGCCAATAATTTAACTCCGTTGGCGCCCTTTTTATTTTATCTACTATTTCCGGAATTTTAGCTACCCACTCCCTAGCTATCGTCTGAGCGACGTCGAAGGCCTAAAGGTTGACACCGAAACATCCGAATCTTATGTATCCGAGTAGGTAAAGTTTTGTAGTTAATTCTTTAATAATTTTTTCTTTAAGTTTAAAATTTTGGTGGTATCGCCGAGTTTATTTGGTAGGTCGATGAAAAGTCAGCTGCTCGACCTACTGCTGACTTCGAGAGGAGTTTTTTTGACACCTTGGACAATTGTTAATAGAGACATCTGGACTGCCACATTTAAAAAAAAACGATTGCGTCGGAGTTGATCGCATTTCTTGAATCTATGGCCCGTTCCGCCACAATTCCAACATGAGGGTTGTAGATCAGATTTTGGAATAGATGGAGTATCTCCCGTGGGCCACAGTTATTGGTTGTTCGATTTCCGGGTTTGCGGTATGCCAGTTCTGGTTCGAGAAGTGATCGATATGAAGTGGGAGGAGGAACATATTTATCCATCACCGCCTGGGCTTCTTCCACTTTTCTACCAAGAACAATCAATTCATCAATTGTAGATACTTGGTGAAGTATTAACTGCGATTGAATACTTGGCAGTAAATTTCGTCTTATAAGAGCTACTCGATCTTTTTCAATCGGATGTTGTTTCAGTTTCCTAAATCAATTTTCCATTATCGTAATGTAATTAAGGATTTTCTCATTTGCACCCAGTGTTCTTTTCCTGATTTCGTCCATTAAACCAAGTTCATAGTCATATAATAAGTATGCTTCTTTAAGCTGCTGAAATAAATCTTGCTAAGATACAAATATTCGGGTCCTATACCATAGTAAAGCATCTTGCGTCAAAAGCTCAGGAGAGCAGCGTAAGAGTTGTTGATGAGAAATCCCTCCAGAAATTCTAAATTCTTCCACTCTCTCTAAAAACTCATTAACACTTGTTCTACCGTTAAATGTAACATTCCATCGAGACACGTCTGGTAAGCGAGTTT